CTTTCGATCCATGTTAACTAGATGATCCCCGTGCTTTGCTATGGGATATATGTTAGATATTGGAGAAATGATGAAATGATTTTGATTAAAATATTATAAAAATGATTTCAGAATGATGATTTAGCATGTGTATGTTTAGTTTTAGAATGAAATAAATTGTAGATATAATTACTATATGCTTACATGCTAAGCTTTGTGTGCTTAATGAGTTCATGTGGAATGCTTGCATGTAGGTTTTAGGGTGCTAATAAATACAGTAGTATGCTTGCATGTTGAGCTTTAGATGTTTAGTGGGCATTAATTAGCTTTATTAGTTTGATGGAAAGAAGAGATTAATTGGTATGAATGTAGGCAAATAGCTAGCAATGCAAGCCCATGGGCTCGTGACATATTTTTCCCAGCCTTGTACATGATCCAGCCCATGATGAGGCCAGCTTCTCCCACAAATCGGTCCGCTGCATGCATGCATGCATCACATGTTAAAATAAGTCTACTTCATGTCCCTCAGCTTTCCATCGGGTGTAAGTCATATCTCTGAACTACATTACAAGAAATTTTAGTCCTGAACTTACAAAACCGGGTAAATTAGATCCAATAGCAATATGGATAGTTCGTTTCATTGATATGGCATTCTAGTCATAAAAAAAAATAAAAAACATGTGAAGCCCACATATAAATGGACACCTCACCTTCTTTCTCTACTTCCCTCTCTTCTTCTCTCTTCTCTTTTCTATCGTCTCCTCCATGCCAACGAGCTACGCCTAGATTGCCACCTTGTTGCCTCCATCTCTACCTCGTCTCCATCCGCGCCAGCGAAGCCGCCGCCCTCTTCTGGCATGTCGGCTGGCGTGCCCTTGCCGTCCCCTCCCTTAGTCCCCTCCCTTAATCCCCTCCGCGTCGCCGCCCTTCTTCTCGGGTGGTCCGACACCCCTATGCCACTGCCATATACACCCTCCCTACCATCGACTGGCAGCGGGGAGGACGACATACGGTGGGAAGAAACCTGATGATGAGGGCGGCTCAGGCTTAGTGCAGAGGACGATATGTAGTGGGAAGAAGCCTGACGGCTAGGCCTCGAGATCCCAATGATGGTGGAGGCATGAGAGTTGGGGCGTGCGAAACAACATTAACGGCGGGCGGCCTGACGATGACTTGCGAGCGACATGCACAGAGAAGGTCGGGGTAGAAAGGCCGGCGAACGGATGGAAATGGTGATATCTAGGCACAGCTTGCAGCATGGAGGAGATGAGGAAAAAGAATAGAGAAAGGGCCAGGGGAAGTAGAGGAAGAATGTGAGGTGGCCACTTACATGTGGGCCCTGTATTTTTAAATTTTATTTTTGTTGACTAGGATGCTACGTACGTCAGCGCAACTTACCATCCATACTGCTATAGGATCTAATTTAATCTGGTTTTGTAAATTGAGGGATAAAAATTTTCGGTATTGCGATTAAAGGATGCGACTTAAACTTAACGGAAAGACGAGAAGTAAACTGGACTTATTCCTCACATGTTTGCAAGAATTCTGCAGGGCCAGATGAGCAGCCAGCTAATATGCTATCCGCACCTTGTCGTTTCTACTGTGTCCTGCATGCATATTTATATGTTTCCTTTTCTTTAATTAATTCGCCCGTTTTCTGCGTGGACACATTTGTTAGTGACCACTGCCCACGACCGTGCAGTCGTGTGCGCACAGCCATTATATATATTGATTATGGATGAATTACCTGCTCCGGTCAAAAAGGAAAAACGTCAAAACGAGCTTAATTTCAAAGGGCCTAGGTTATATTTACTTGTATCCCCGACGCCGACCAGGAATTAAAAGATATCAAAAAAATCGAAAGGCACGAGGGGACGTAGTATATATTGATTCCAATTTTCATAGACTCTGGCCTTCCGACGATTTATTTTGAATTTAAAGGTCAAACTTTATGGAGTTTATCAAACACTTGATCAAACTAATCATTAGTCCAGCTAGCATATCTTCAATCCCTCTGGCAATGGCGAAGCTAGCAGCCCCGATGAGCCGGCTCGGACGACTAGAGACGACTAATAGTATTTTCCGGTGATCCATCACTTCTTCTGTCAATAGCAAGCGGTAGAGGAGACGAGCTAGCCCAGGCGGCCACTCGACTAGTGTGGGAGGTGGCCCTACCACTATCGCCCGTTGATAAATATTTAATATTTAATATAAGAGTTAGTCATTTTTTAAAAAAATTGATCACTAAAAATTTTCTAAATATTTAGTTAAAAAATTTATACGTAGATTTGTTTCGAAAATATCTGACATAATATTTTTTTATATTTATAAAATTAGTAACCAAAGTTTCTGAGATTTCTAAACATCAATTATTTTATTTATTACCCAAGGGAGTATTAGAATATTGATCATGTACCTACGATTAAAGTTGAATCTCGAAGATCCTCCAAAATACAATATATAATGTGTCATTCTAAACATTGTGTCGATATTAAAATAATTCTTTTCTGCAAGAGGGAATGGTTTCACAAATATAATGCATTAGTGCAGCGTGGAGGTTTCTCATCGATCGGTATGGGATCCAATGTCTCATTATATAACTAATTCATCACAGAAAGATCCAATAATTGATTTGGAGGCACACCAATGAGAACAACCGGACTTGGTACTTTACATCACAAAAATTAAAATTTGGTTGTATATATGCATAATCAACACCGCATGCACAAATTGAGCACGATAATTTATTAATTTACAACCCCAGCTACCCTCCCACACATGCACACAAAGAAAAAAAAAACATTGTGATGTTCAATGATGAATTAACGGAAAAAAAATACATATACATTTTTTTAGGGTAAATACATATACATTTTCTTCATGACAATATTTAATTGTCATAATGGAATGTGCAACTTGTATAAAATGGCTAATTAATCTTGTCCGACAGAAACATCATTTGTCAGAATGTCATTGATCGATGAATAGCAAGGGCTGTAGTGTGTTTGTGTGTCGCCCATACTGTTAATCGAGATTAATTAATTAGCACGAAGAAGGAAGAGAGAGCAGTTAGCCACGGCTTTAACTCGAATATATATATTTTTTACTACTAACCACGAACCAAGCAACCAATCTTATGGCCCCACGGAGAGCCGGATCTCACAAAGTCAAATGCCACATTTCTCTCATGCTCATCCGACCGGAGATAGCGCGATAAACAACAGTTAATTAATTTTGATATTTAACGTACGGTCGACTGAAAAAACATTTTGAGTAGTCACCATATGTAGGCTTGAAAGAGACAAACAACCTATCGAAGAGGGGAATGGTACCAGTGTTAATTAAAAATTCAAATATTTTTGCAGATTAAAATTAAACTGTACCCACAACGGTGTTAAGACCGGCCTCCAGCTGATCTCGAAAACTACTGTTGGTTTCAATTAATCATCCACCATACTGATGTGACCAGCCGAAGGGGTCTAATTAACTGTCATATACTCCCTCCGTCACAAAATATAAGTACACTATTTTCGATATACTACTTTAACCAATACTGTAATATCTATGAAGTTAAGATGCTTTAAATAAAAAGAGATTGCATATTATGATAGTTTATTTAATGATAAATCTAGTTACATCAATTTTATATGATTGATTTTTTTATTTGTTAGATAAAAAATATTTGACTTAGTAATATTTTAAAAATACCTATATTTTAGAACTAAAGGTTTAATCCCTAGTCTTAACAGCTAGACACTGTTGATCTGACCGCGGGTCTTGCCCTGATACTTCGTCAATTTAAACACAACCTTCATAGTATCTTTCACGCCATCGTAATAGACAATTGTTGATTACAAACTACTGGTCACCATCATTATTTCTGGCACTATACTATTATGGTACCAATGTGTACCAGGATGCTTGCTACCACGGAATATATATGGTGTAATGTTCATTTCATAAGCAATTTAAAGTTCATCTTTTTAAAAAAAAAACACGACACAAACATAGACGCTCATAAAGCGCACGCATACTCACCCCCTAAGCATCTCTAACTAGACCAACATATCGATTGACGAAATCACTGTGAGCGTCTTGCCATCGACAAGTACGTTGCTACCACTTAAAAAATAATTAGCCGTAAATACGAGTATGCATGTCAAGTCTAACACTTAAACTTAGGTGGGCTGGTATCACCACAAAGAACCTACCTAGTTAAGTTACGCTCACTTTACAAAATTGATATGTTTTTAAACACGCAAGAATAAAGTTTACATATTTCCTCTATTTTTTAATAGATGACATCATTGACTTTTAAATATTTGACCATTTATCTCAAAGATTTTATGCAAATGTATAAGATATAATCATGCTTAAAGTATTTTAAGTGATAAAACAACTCACAATAAAATAAATTTTAATCACGTAAATTTTTGAATAAGACAAATGGTGAAACATGTGACAAAAAGCCAACAACGCCATCTATTAAAAAAACAGAGTATATAAAGACATGCGAAACATAAACAGTATACCGTGCGAATACACTGAGCTACCGGCTAATACAGCGTATTCATTAGCCCATAATGAACTAACGTAACCTTCCTACTTTACGTTAGAAGAATATTATTAATGTATACTCATGCAAAAATGAAATAAACATGTGAGTTGCTGCTGCGTACGTGTTGATCTAATCTAACGCTGAAAAAAAAATTAAAACGATCGATCAATAAAAAAACCAATCGCTTAATAAACCGGTGATTCCCATAATTAATTAATTAGCAATGCAGCATCGTCGATCATTGACCCAAATTAACAACCCAAACAACGACTCCAGTTAACGCCTCGTTAGTTGATTAGGTTTTCGAGAATAAGTAAAAGACGAGCAACAGCTACAGGTAGGAGTAGTACGTAACATACATGGCTGATCACTACAATTAATACTGGCGCCACATCGCTCTCAGCCAGCGTTTCCAAGCGAGGAGGTAGCAAAAATAGGGGGAAAAAAAAGAAGAGATCATTTTTTTTTCAGAGGCAAGCAGCATCTTGTCAATTGGTATAAATACTCCTCGCTTTCAAGCCAGGAGCCATCACAGCTTTATCACCGGCATCCAATCCACACATATAGTTACCTCCTTTGCCTTTGGAATATTAATTTGGTATTGGAGTATACCACTGAGCAATTGCAACCATTCCATTCCATTCGATCCATTCTAGCTAGCTTATCTCCTCCAGCATTTTGGAGAGAGCTCTATCTTTCTGCTACTTCGCTTGAGAGAATTTCCATGTTTTCATCTGCAGCCATGCAGCAGCTCAAAGGCAAGATTGATTGATTGATTTAGGTTCTTGATTATTCCCAGTCTCTAGCTTGCAACGACAAAGATCCTTTTCAGGCATCTGTCCGGATTGTGGATTCTGTCTGATTTTGGTTCTTGTTTTTTTTCCTTTTCTTGCTATGTTCATTTCAATTCTTTCCCTTTCTTATGATCAGACGATGGGTCGTCCGCGAGGCAGCTACAGCTGCTCGTCGCCGCGCTGTCGACGGCCGGAGCTGTGGCGGCCGCCGCCGTCGTGCGACGCAGGCACGGGAGGAAGGCCGCCGCAGCCGCAGCCGCAGCCGCCGCGGCGCCGCCGCCGGTGGTGATGAGGGAAATGCCGAGGCTGGTGATGGCGGAGTCCGGCCGCGTCGAGCACATCGAGAAGTTCTCTCACTACGTCGGTCAGTCGCCATTTTTGTCCTTGTCTTTCTTTCTCCTGTTACTGCCCCTGCTTCCATGGAATTCAGTTATCTTTCCTGTCCTTTTCGTTTTCGATCTTTATCTCTTTTTTTTCAAATTAATCGAACCAAATCAGAATGGGATTGAAGCCTGCTTCTGAAACCCGGATGATTAAAAAAATTGTTGAAGTATTATCTGTTCTGCTCTGCATGTCTTTCTCGCTGACGTGGTCACTGATATTTTTTATACAGTAATTTATAGAAATTAAGTGCATGCATATAATAAATGAAAACAAATATTTGTGTGTACTTCGATAGCGCCCTCTCTCTCTCTGTGTTTCAAAAAAGAAAATATCGATAGCTATCAGCAGGATAATTAAACCTTATACACAATTAAGGACAGTGGTGACACACTGACACTTGTTATATGCCTACATATGAGAGTGCCATCTCACTAGCTAAATTAATTAGCTATCTAATTATGTAAATAATATCCTGGTGACTTGAACTGCCTAGCTAACCGGGCCCCAGTTGTCGAGATCAACTCAGTACACAAGCACATGGCAAGCTAGAGTCAATGGTATAGTAGGAGACGCGTCCTCATCACGGCCGTTGAATATACATCGGACGAATATCGTGACAAAAGATATGTATGCATACGTAATCAGGCGCCCTAGAAGATAAGGAAAACTAACCAAAGACTATATGTAATGTGCGTGTTTGAATTTTTCTGTCGCATATATAATATAAGTTTCATGAAATTCATTTTACTTTAATGGATATTTATGTCTGCAGCTAGGCAGATGGGGTTTCAGGACATAAATGAGTGCCCACAGCTGTGCAAATTAGCAAATAACTACCTCAAGAGGACCAAGAATTGCATGGATGACATCGATGACTTCTTCGCAAATATCCTGGATTCGGAGTCCCTTTATGTCAAGTTCATAGAAGAGTTGGATAAATGCATTCTTGGATATTTTGCGTTCCATTGGGACCATGCTACCGCTCTTATCAGCCAGGTATTTATTGTACCATGCGACAACTGGTTTTCTGATTTTTTTTTCCTGGCCATTTACATGGAATTAAGTTTCACTTTTATATACAGTAAGTACTACTGGTATCCAAAGTTTACTTTGGAAAAAAAATTAATATTACCGTGTGGATGGTTGTTTCAAAAAAATATTATAACGTATGGACTACTCTTAACATTTGTATTACTCATTTAGGGTGTACTTATCACGTGCACAACTAAAATTAATCAAAAGCACATGCATGTTCGATTATCGTGTGTAAGCACACGCTAACTGCTTATATCCCTTGCAACATTAGTTAATTACGTGACTGACACTAACTATCCAAATTTATGATGTCTATTTTCTTCAGTCCAATTTTTTTTCTGTCCAAATACCAGCCAAATAAAGTTAGAACAACATTAATTGGTCAACTCGCACATAAATTAACATGTTTAGCATAGCTTCTTCTTAATTAGTAATTCGTGTTAGATTAGCAGCAGGCAGTTATTAATTAATCTCTTGAGAAAACAGCAAGGGTGAATCCAGAAAATTAATTAATATATATCCCGTGCACGTTCTATTTGTATCAATATTGGCGGATCGATCTGGAAGCAAAGGGATTTTTAGGGAGACGTACGCACGTACATATATGTACGTGACAGAAAATTTATTCTTTTTACACAGAATTAATGAACACATTACTGCAGCTATAGTGTAATGGCAGTACTACCACTATATAGATTAATGGGCACATCTAGCATATACAGTACACGTACGTGCACATATATATCAACGTAACTGCCATAATTTTTCCATGAACTAATTAATATATCTCGTAGTATTATGTTAATTAATTATATGCATATATATGCAGGCCTTGACCGTAGACTGTGGCACCGCCAGCAAGAAGAAGCTAAGGAACCTCGTGTTGGAAGCTACAAGGTAAATTAACTATTGAACTTAATTATATATTGAACCTTTTTTTCGCTTTGTTTTCTTAGAAAAGGGGGCTTAATTAATTAATTCATTTGTTCTGTTAGCTAGTTTATCTGTTAATTTAAATATTCACCGTGTTGTCTTGCCAATACACTTGATTATTATAACTTGCATAATATTCTAGAAAAAAGATTAATCACTCAATACGCGAGCATGAATTAACTAAATGCTGGAGTAATTAATATAACTGAAAATATGTTATCCAGAGATGTAGCTAATGACTTTTAATGCGGTGTTACCTGTTAATGACTTCCCTAAGTCGTTATAATTAATTCCCAAAAGACTATTTAATTTCATTAGCATGTGTGATCCAATATACGTGTATCTTAATATATCACTCCAATGTTTTGAGATACCTACGCCGGCCAAACCATTAGGCCAGATTTCGCCTCAACATTTTTCCTTTTTGATTAATTAATCTGACCCGGCCAGGCAAAGACTTTATATAAATATATGTCTCCCTCAAGAGTCTTAGGTATATATATAGTAATACCAATCGATATGGAGTCATCAGCTAGCTAGCCAAGAAAAGATAGACAAGCAAGCTAGCCATTCGATCCATTAGATCGATGATGCAACGAAAATGAACTTTGAATTCTCTAGCAACAATTTTATTTTCGTCCCATCATATTTACATGCCATAGGTACGTACATTTTAATTATCTTAAAAACTGGTCAACTAGACACTGAAAATGACTACGATAAGGTTGCGTTCCTTTAAGAGGTTTTAGACTAAGTTTAGCACACGAAACAAGACGAATAATTAGGATATAATTAAGTATTAATTATTGTAAATAAATTTATTTGATTTTCAAATATATAAGATCATTTTTTTACAAAACATACATTTTAGCATTTTGAAAAGCGTGTTGGTAATAAGCTAGTATCTGAAAATAGATGAGTCTAATTAAGTCTTCACAAGAAATGCATTTCATTTTGATTATCTTAAAAAAAAGTCAACTAGACATTGAAAATGACTAAGCTAAGGGTATGTACAACGGTATTTATTAGTGGTCTCTCTCTATTGCCATGCAAGTAAAATTGTTGCATGACAACGACTCAGAGTCGACTCTTAGCATTTATTAGATCAAATTTTGTTACATGGTGGTGAAAGAAAGGAAAGAAAAGTAAGAAAAGATATTTTGATACATTAATGATTAAAGACCATATTGTCTCTAACTGTTGTAGGATGCTAGTCTCTAGATAACGTAGAGCTCATATCTGACTCTACCTTTGTATATGTTCTAAGTCTTCACAAGAAATATATTACTTTCACATGCAAAGAACTTGAAGTATTATAGACTTTGCATGCTTCAAGATCCATACTTTTCTTTACGGAAAGAGGTAGTGTAGGAAATATTCATTTTGGGATTATCATAGAATTCAGAAACTTCCAAGGAAATTATATATTAGGATTCAGGACCTTGGCCTTATCTCTGTAAACCATATATGCATTGGGGCTACTACACATATAAATTGTGGAGCTAATTAATTGATTAATAGCTACTAGTGGGTAAGGCTCACCAACTCTCTTTAATTGTAGATGCCAATCCAAACACTATCGATATGGTATCGATCTTTGCTGTTTGATTTGCAAAGAGATTAATTTGTGGAGGTGATTTTTTTTCTGGCCATCTTAATTTACGTCGCTTTATCGATCTCGAGACCCCCCCCCCCCCCCAAACAAACACTTACAATTAACATGGACCATTTGCCATCATAGCGTGCCATGTGCTTGGATACAATTAACACATTCACATCAACGTCTCTACTTAATTACCTGCATGCCTGACTAACAAATTAAAAGACAAAATGCAATAAGATATATACTTATCAACCAGTTAACCAAATTCCTCTCTCTTACTCTTAATACTAATCCATATGGAACAAGACAGACAGGCCAGGTTAGTATGGTTGTGCCATCACGGCAGAGATCACTTGGTGGGCCACCCATCATGTGAGCATCCACGTGGAAATGCCATACAAAAGTTTTGTATGATAGTGATCTGTGTGAGGTGTACATGATCTTTTCTGGGCCCCTGCATTTGCATATTCATGGCCAATATAGGATCATAATATATATACTATATTGGTAGCCAATCTTTCTTTCAGTTGTGTTTTGTTGGGCTTAATGAATCATTACACTGGTTGTTTGCTAGTCATAAGCAGGTAGTGATGATTTAGTTCTTTTAAGTGAAAAGTAGGAGTAACCACCAAGATTTCATGTAGTACGCACAATAATGCAACACAGTGTGACAATAATAATCAAGCTTCCCTTTTTGTTTTTTTTTTTGAGACAAATTAAGGCCTACTTTAAAACGTACGATTTAGTTAATTAAGCAATGAAATAGTGCATGTAAAAGATAGATCATGTAGAAATTGTGTGTGAGAAATAATAATTAACGCAGGAAGCAGAGGTTTGAGCGGGTGACGAGGGACCTGAAGGTGACGAGGGTGTTCTCGACGCTGGTGGAGGAGATGAAGGCGATCGGCGTCCCGACGGCGGCGATGAACGGCGACGGCGAGGAGGAGCCGCACTGCACCGACGTGATGGCGCCGGTGGCGCACGACGAGCGGAGCCCCGTGCTGCTGCTCATGGGCGGTGGGATGGGCGCCGGCAAGAGCACCGTGCTCAAGGAGATTCTCCAGGAGTAAGCAAATTAAGCTAGCGAGAGAGCTCTGTTTTTTTAAAAAAAATTATTTGCACAGCATTTAAATTGCATAGGTTATAATTGAATAATTTGAAACGATTTTAAATATAAATTCTATAATGTTCAGGCCACTGTGGTCCAAGGACGAGGCGAATGCGGTGGTGGTTGAGGCGGATGCGTTCAAGGAGACGGACGTGATCTACCGTGCCATTAGCTCCATGGGCCACCACAACGACATGCTCCAGACTGCTGAGCTGGTAATTAATTGCTACTAACTCACACGCACATATATATATATATATATATATATATATATATATATATATATATATATATATATATATATATATATACATACATAAAATTATTACTTCATTTTAAGATAGGTTTGTTCATTCATCTGATCATCTGCCTGTAGTACTCTTGGCTACAGTCGTCCAACACCAGCTGCAGTTAGCTAGTCATACATCATTCAGAACACGTTTTCATCAGAGTTTCGGTTCACGTATGCATGACTATTAGATCATAGCTAGTTGACTCGATGGAATTAAATTAAACAAGTGGGAACAAATTAATTAAATAGAGCCACCAACCGCAACCGGCAGCTTAACTGAATTATACAGGATGAAAATCGATCCATCAATTCATCGAGCACCTTCAAAATGTCGGTTGGCCTAACTCATTATGCATATATGCTCGCAGTGATTACGTAGTACGGTTGGCAATTTTGCATGCAGTGCGCCATCATCTACATATTATACCCATTGTTTATATGTTTATTCGAATCGTTTTTTAGCAAATAAAAACTTATATGTGAGCAAAACTTTTATATACGTGTCCTTAGCGACTAAAAAAAATGTTACAGAATAAACTAATTAGATTCTAAAATTTAAGTTTTGACTTATAAATATATGCATAAACCAATCAATGTTTGGCACGAACAGCATGCACGTCGATCGATCTGTACGGATCTGGAAAAAATGCGACGCAATCATTGCCGGATCCAGACCTCAAAAAAAAAGCCCGTAAAATCCTCGATTGCAGGCCCACCTGGCAGAGAGATAGGATAAGGTTTCTGATCTGCTCATCCTGTCAGAGTGTCACTAGTGCAGAGATAGATCCACATTATTACTACTACCTTCATCCCAAAATGTTTGACGCCGTTGACTTTTTTATGTTTGACGCCGTTGACTTTTTTAAAAATGTTTGACCGTTCGTCTTATTCAAAAAATTTAAGTAATTGTTAATTCTTTTTCTATCATTTGATTTATTGTTAAATATACTTTTATGTATACATATAATTTTACACATATCACAAAAGTTTTTAAATAAGACAAACGGTCAAATATGTTTAAAAAAGTCAACGGTGTCAAACCTTCCATAACATTTAGGGAAGGAGGTAGTATTTGGCTGGCAAGGTGACATGGCCACCATGTGCTGCCTTGCTCTTATGCACAGTAGGAGTATCGCTATGGCTTGTTCTTTTGTCCAAATATAATGATATTGTCGCCTACTACCCAGAAAGAACAGAAGGGGAAATCATTTCCTTGCCTTAATTATGGTGTTCAACTCCCAGAACTCTAGGAAATGAGTCCTCGCATCTCGCATGCACATGCATCTGTTAATTCTAGCTAGAGAGTAGGAGCATATGATATATAGTACTATTATTCTGCTGTGCAAATTGTCATGTGTTGGATTTGATCTTGTAAGACAATTTAGTTAGGAGCCTATGACACGTTTTGGTTACTGTAGTACAATTCTAAATGAGTATAAAACCTCACTAATTATGGATAAAGTTACATAAAACCACGGATATTTTGACATGTGGCACATAAATTCAGTTATTATGTTACTAAAATTTCACAAAATTAACCAATTTGACATATTCATATATCAAAATTTTGAAAAGCTATATATATGGACATGGATGTAACATTTATATGATGCATAATGAACACGTAAATTTTGTGATGTGATTGTAAAACTCAAAGTACAATAGATCAAAGTCAAAATGATTGATAGTGTGGTTTTATGAAACTTTATGATCATAATACATGGGTTTATGTACCATGTATCAAAATCACTGTGGTTTTTGTGTAACTATATAGTAAATAAATGTGGTTAAGCCAAATTTACTCTCTCTAAGTTTTTCTAGCAAACCTTGAACAATGTGGCTAATCCTTACGGCCCAAACAGAGCAGCTAATGGGCCGGGCTGACATACATATACTTACGGGTTGGCCCATGGAATGCAGGTGCACCAGTCGTCGACGGACGCGGCGTCGTCGCTGCTGGTGACGGCGCTGAACGAGGGTCGTGACGTCATCCTCGACGGTACCCTCTCCTGGGAGCCGTTCGTCCAGCAGACCATCGCCATGGCGCGCGACGTCCACCGCCGCCGCTACCGCATGGGCCCCGGCTACAAGGTCGACCCCGACACCGGCGACATCACCGAGAACTACTGGGAGCCCGCCGACGCCGACGCCGCCTCGCCGCCGCCGACCAGGAAGCCTTACCGGATCGAGGTCGCCGGCGTGGTCTGCGACGCGTACCTCGCCGTGGCGAGGGGGATCCGGCGCGCCATCGTGACGGGGCGGGCGGTGCGGGTGCGGTCGCAGCTGGTGTCGCACAGGCGGTTCGCCGCCGCGTTCCGGCGGTACGCCGGCGCCGTGGACGGCGCGCGGCTGTACAGCACCAACACCATGGGCGCGGCGCGGCTGATCGCGCGCAAGGACGGCGTCGCCGGCAGCCTGCTGGTGGAGCCGGCGGAGTTCGCGTGCCTCGACGCGGTGGGCGGCCTCAACGAGAACGCCACCGGGGTGCACGACCTCTACCGCGGCGGCGCCACCGCCTGCGGCGCCCGCTCCATCTGGGACGACATGATCGCCTCGCCGGCGCGCGCCGACATCCAGAGGGAGCTCCGGGAGGCCTTCCGCTCCGTGGAGCACGCGCCGCCGAACACCAATGGCGCCTAGATATGGTGTGTGTGTGTTCAATATGTTTCCCCAGAAATTAATCATGTGGGGAACTAAATTTGTTGTTGATGTGTAAAGGGAGTGTATTAATTTGTGGTAAATGGATGTGCTTATTATATGAACTAGTAGGGTGGCCCGCGCAATTGCGCGGCTAGCATCCATAAAAAAATATTTAATTTTCTCTAAAAAATTATTTAAATTTTTACACATGATTTTTATAAAATTTATTATATCATCATCTCATTGTTGTAGGATTTTCAAAATCGAACTTTATTATCACCGGGTTTTTAATTTTATAGTTTTATAAAGTCACACCAACTGACACCCCCTTTACTTGTTGCTCAGCCCGCCACGGCTTCTATTCATCTTCCCTGCGACCTTTAAAAATCGGACAATAGAGTTTTAGAGTTTATTGTCTCATCGGATTTCGTTTTTTAGTTTTTAGAAACCCATCAAATGTGGTCACCTTACACCTTTACGATCCGATCCTGCCTGCTCCCCCTATTATCATTGTTAGTTAAAAAATGAACCTGATCATCGTTGCTGTCCCTTTTTTACTCTATAAAAGTCCTATCAACTACCACGACCCTACTCCTTTATGGCCCACCCGCCATCCCTCCTATTTATTATCATTGGGATTCTAAAAATCAAACCTAATTGTCATTAGGGTTATATTTCATAGTTTTCTGAACCACCCTACTTCTTTACGGTTCATATAAAAGTATATTTGAATTTCGTATACAACTCTTTCTTTTTCTATAAGCTTAGATTTCATATACAACTCTTAACTCTATTTATACAGATATAAATATATATGTTGTTATCAATCAATATATGTTGTTATTATCTAAACCCATCGTGATGCAACGATTAAGATATTTTTCTCTGATTAATTGATGTGAGAATTTCTAACCTACACAACGAACGAACGTAATGCCTTCTTTAATACACAGTAAATTAACACTTGGCAACAAATGCTAGGTTACTCGTAGTAATATGTGATTATACATGTGTAGTTATGCCCGCATGTACCTTTCCAGTTCTGCTGTGCATGCAAACTTCTTTTTTTTTTCTTTCCCAAATCGGACACCACACCGAAATACTATCATGACTCTAATATACGTAAATGCATATGCTGCTAACCAATACAGAGAGATGGAATATCCTTTTCCTAGTTGAATACAAATTCTATTTCATAACTATATAAGTTATCAATTGATCTACACCGTTATAATTTGGACCCACCACGATCTAACGGTGTAGATATTTCTCTTTTTCTCTGATTAATGTGAGAATTTCTAGCCCCCACAGCGAACATGGTGCCTCCTTTCAAGGCTGTTTTAATAATATAATAGATAGATAGATAGATTAATGTTTGGAGCGATTCCAATGAAATGTTGCAACACTGATACCTGAAGAAATTAACACACACCCAGTCCCGGAATCCAAAACTCCAATTAATTTAAAATCTGCTTCAATTCAATTTGAAATAGTTTTCAATTTAGTATAACTATAATGACTATATATCCAAACAAAACAATTTCATAGATCACCGTTGCAAAATTCAACTCGACTGAAGAATAACACAATTTGATGCAACTGAAAACTTGGCTTATATGTAGTAATAACATAACCAATTCGTCCAAATTCCCCCATACTGCATTTTTATAAATTGAAACCATGCAACTCATGATTCACGTATCTGCTGGGCAAAACCATGCTAATCTAATCCAGCATAAGAATTAACCATGTTGATGCATCACGAGAAACGTGTCTTCTTAAATCACTAGAAACAGTTTAGTCTAGCAAACACAGCTCCTCTAGTCTCAACTAAGAGAGCATCATATCATTCAATATCCGGCAGCTTACTCGATATTAATCTTCTTCCAGGTTGATGGCGTCCTTGAACTTTCCGTACAGTATCTTCTTCAGTTCAGCCATCTGGGAGACGATGGATTCCTTCTCCTGCTCCAGCCTCTCCAACTTCTTAGCTGCATCCTCTTTCATCTGCTCCAGCCTTGTCTCCACATCATCCCTTGGCATGTGGGCAAACACTTCTCCAATTTGGAACCGCACCACGTCTTCGTCTGACAGGATGAGTTCATTCCCAGCATCATCAAGGTTCTCATTTGCTTCCTGGAACATAGGGTAAACAAGGCATATGGCATTTAGTGTCGTCGTGTTCTAAGATAAGTTTAGCTTATAACGGAAAGGTACTGACTGTAATGTGCATAAATATTTGCATCCAAATTTTGCACCCATCTGGTAAAATAAGATACTCTAACTTGGCAATCTCTGCTTACACGTGAAAAAGAGCAATCTTACTCTGCTTACACGTGAAAAAGAGCAAAGGAACATCGAAATTTTGTTATGATTAGAAAGGTGCCAAACTAGCATTTCAGTATAAGGAAGCATTAAAAACAGTTGTTCTGCTTCGGTTATGCTACAAGCAAAATTCTATGTCGGCCAAGTAAAAATATATGCAGGAGAAGACAAATAAAATGAAACTTCAATTTATGATACGTGCAAAGGTTCTTTGGAAATTACTATGTTGTGCTAGCAATCTGTAATAAATACTCTCCCAAGAAAGCATATTCATTTATTTATTTAATATTATTGTGATGGTCTAATGACGTAGCCTTATTGCATTTTCCTATGTTGGAATTCTTAGTACTATGAATTACGGAGGTATTGGGCACATAATTTGTTTTATAATTTCCGCTTAAATTTAATCAACTTGACTCTGACAGTCACGAGCACAGGTTACCTACCCGTTTTCTCGCCACCGCATATCAACATAATTTTTTCGTAAAATGTGTAGATGGAACTGACTCGATCATCTTATGTAAAACATAGAATATTTCTACCTACATCATGTACTCATGTAGCAAAAATCTACGGAAAACTGGTTTTAGCCAATGGATGGAAATCTGGGTCTACCTTTCTAGTCTGCTGAATTCCACCCACTGCCACTTTGCTCTAAGCTAAAAAGGCAACGTTGGAAAATACCAGGGATGCTTAGCTAGGAAATTTTGACATCAAGCACATGTCAGCTGCCTCTGATATGTCGCACAGTGCATTAGCATATTGCAATTGCAGAACCATATTTTCAACTTGAAAGGGGACGAACGTGCCAACCACATTTAGGGGCAATATATTGTTCCCTAGGAGAATATTCTAAATCCACATACTTAGTGAAATCTTTATTAGAGACTCTTGTACAAACACATTCTTAGCACTACTCTTTTCTGATTATGTGAAAAATGGTAGGTTCACCCTTGAATGGTGAATTGTACAAAGAGTAAGCTACCACATGTACTCACCCTTCTCAACTATCTATATCCAACATACTCTTCACAAAATTAGCCATCAAAAGTAAGCCTATCATCTAGTGCATATCAGGTAATGGAACACTCTCTACATGAAAATAAGTGTTTATATGAGGTTCCTACCACTCTAATAGTGATTTCAGTAAGAAAAGATGTATAGGATATTCTCCTAGGAAAAATAATTGTAAATATGTACAGAGCATATAAAAGCCAAGACCAAATAAAGTTGCCAAGAAAAAAAAAGGCACAATACATTTTTTTTCAGAATAATAAAGATGATTTATAATTGTTCATCCTGATATGATGAGTCATGCTATAAAATACGAACGCGAATAAATATTCCCTCCAAGAAGAATGCAACTGCAACATTGAAAAATTGGCTACAAGCCTACAAGACACTCTAGTTTCATGTCTTTACTAAAACACAACGCAAAAAAAACGTGGTTATTTTCCATAAGGAACGAATCAGTTAAATAATATTTCTAGTTAGATTGGAGAGAAAAATTTTGAAAATGACTTGGGATGCCCTTGAACCTTGTAAACTCAGCACTAATAGCATCTAAATTAAACAAGTGATGTACATGTATTTCCCTAAAAAAAAGGTAATATATATGTGCATATTTTTAGCTTTATTTTCGAATTGATAGTACAACTATAATTATTCAGAAATTTCTCTAATTTCAGTAAATTTCAAGAGTTTCGGTTGACATTTCAATTTGGGACTCAAGTTCAATTAAATATTTTGTTTGGAAGTTTTGGTATACCTAAAATTTGTACCCATTTTAACATGTTGAATTATATTCTCCCTTTTAATTGTCTGAACCAAAGTGACATTGTGCATTCACTCTCTCTCCCAATCAAGACAATACCATTTTAATGACCTCAGTGTCCTACAGAAAATAGCCTCATTTTTGAAACGTGTTCTAGCCAAGACACAAAATTAGTGTCCTGCAAAAACCACAAAACTAGTGTGGCATAGACAATTTTTGCATAAAACATCAAACATGGAGCTTTTTTGGTCAATCCTCCAAATCAACAACTCAGCACATCATCATATTTCACAGGGTGAAAATGGAACACTGTAATTTGAACAAAATGCACTTGCATGCTTCATGTTTGATGGAAACATTAATGGTTCAGTTGTATGGTAAGGGCAGAATATATTGCAGCAACTGAGGCCAGTAAGAAATATTGATGATGTGGTATATCTGTCATATCAAAAAATTTGATCTGTGCATTCACATGTTTAGATGGTATGTAGTGTAATCGCTAAAATAACAGATGATGGTAAACAAAAGGGCTTGACAAAGATGGTTCAAACAACAAAATGAGAAGATATGAATAGCACTTTCTTAAAAAATTATATACCAGAATCTCAAACAATTTTCTGATACATCAAATTTCCTATGAGGTTCAAATTCCTCGCAAAACATTTGCCAAAAGTTAGCGGTCCCAAACAAGAGTCAGTATTGATTCTTAAGTTTTCAATATCGATGTTCATGTGTTAAGTAACTGAAATATGTCATCCATAACAGAGTCCATTGTGAAACACAAAATGCAGACAAGAACAATGAGCAATCAGATCACCACAATTCCATATTGGCATATCACAATTAGGAAATCTTGTTAGAAAGATACATATATGGAAAGAACAACTGCTCAAAGGATCGTGCGGATGCATAGCCGGAAATGAAACCAATCTACTTTATTTAGCACATGACAGCGAATGCGTGCAACTTAACCAAAGGCTCCACCTCGTCAAGCGATAAAATACCATACGCTACAAAGTAATGCATTTGCAACTCATGGGAATACACAAATCCCTGGGATCTCAAGCTCCTAACGGATACTTTCTTTTCCACTGTTGCCAAACATATAAGAAATAAACGGCGAGAACATAATACTACTAATCATAATCACATAGAAGTAGTAGCAGTAGTAATATGTATCCAAAGAACAGGTAAACCCCTGAAACCATAAGCATGTAGGCTCTACGGCGAGCCGCAAAAGGCTCTTGGACCAGACTAGCTAATGAAAAAGCAATTCCTGTGCTGGAAAATAACAAATCAAGCAATGGTTGGTATATGGGGGGAGCACGGATGAGCAAACACACAACACAGACAACTGGTGAGAGAGGGGGATCTAGAAGGCGGCACTTGAGTACCTTGGCGAGCTTGATTTCGTCGTGGAGCTCGTGGAGGCGGTTGTTGAGGCGGCCAAAGCGGTTGATGTTCTGCTGGTCCTCCCACGTCACCTGCGCCTCCGTGCCGTCCCCCTGCAACCCACAGCCGACAGAATTCCACCCCACAGATCAGACGCGCGCGTACAGAAAGCAACACATCAAACTGCTGAATCGGGAGGGGGCTAGGATTCTTTGCTCCGCCGCCCGCCTCCACCGTACCTGCTGCATCTCCGGTTCCCTTCGGGGTGCGCCGCCGCTGGATTCGTCGATCTCCGCCGCCGCCGCCGCCGCCGCTGCTGGATTTCGGGGGAAAAGCCTTCGCAATTGGCAGCAGCAGAGGAAGACGACGAGGGGGGGGGGGGGGGGGGGTTGATGCGGCCACACCCCGGGCCCAAATTAGCCCAGCCCAAAATGGAGGCCAGGAACTTCGTTCGCACCTAACGGAGTTAAAAGTTCCCGTGTTTATTTTTCTTCTAGACGCTCGGGAAGGGCTAGAAGCTACAAAGTAGTACAGACATGGTCCACATGTCGGTTGCTATTGAAAAAATTAATGCAGTTCAAGGGTAATAAAACATTTGAACATTGTATTTCGAACATAATTCATACGGTGGATTTTTGAATATAAATATTTGTAAATATAATTCATATGGTCAATTTTTTTGAAAAAACCTAAAAAAGCTATCTTTCAAGTTTACAATGATAATACAAAATTAATTAGGCACACTTTCTCCCAATTATCTTCGATCCTCTCTCAACCACCATGGCTACCCTTCTCTCTCCCTTCCATTCATACAACCGAATCCGGGCCTTATTAAGCTCAGGGATTATTGCATCTGGTGCTCAGTTGAAATCATTTAGTATATGAAAATATTGTTCGAAGTTGTCATAATTTGAAATTCAAATTGAAATTATTGAAACATAGTCATATAGCAAAATGATCAAAACAAAAGTTGTAGATATTGATGATTTATATAACTTTGTTTTGATGACTTTTTCAGTTGAAATCATTTAGTATTTGAAAATATTGTTTGAAGTTGTTATAATTTAAAATTCAAATTCAAATTATTGAAACAGAGTCATATAGCAAAATGACCAAAACAAATACTGTATATATTGATGATTTATATAACTTTGTTGTTGATGACTATTTCAGTTGAAATCATTTAGTATTTGAAAATGTTATTTGAAGTTGTCATAATTTGAAATTCAAATTCAAATTATTGAAACAGAGTCATATAGCAAAATGACCAAAACAAAAGTTGTAGATCTTGATGAGTTATACAACTTTGTTGTTGATGATTTTTCCATTTGAAATCATTTATTACTTCAAAATATTATTTGAATTTCTTATATTTTAAAATTCAAATTTTATATAGTTCAATCAAACTCGGATGGATAAATGACCAAAAGAAAATTGGTAGATCTCAACGAGTTGTACAACTTTGTTTTCGGTAACTTTTTCATATGAGTTCATTTAATATCATTAATTTTAATTTGAAATTTTAATATTTTAAAATTAATTTTTTTTCCCTCCTCCTCCCTTCAAATTTTTTCATCCCCTCTTCTCACTCCCTTGTCCTGATATTTTTACCTCCACTCACTCTCTCTCCTCTCCCCTCACTCTCTCTTTCTTTCCTTAACTCTCTCTCTCCTCTCTACTCCTCCTCGGGCGGCGGCAGTGGCGGTGGTGCGGCTCGGCCGCCTCGGGCTCTGGCCTGGAGCTAGCGGCAGCGGGGGCGGTGACCTCGGGCGAAGAGTGGGCGGCGGCGCCACCGCCATCTCCTCCTCACCGCCGCCACAGACGACGACGAGGAGGCGACGGGCCAGATCCGGTGGCGGCAGGCCTCGTCCCGCTGGGATCCGGCGGTGGTGGGCCTCGTCCCGCCCGGATCCGGAGGCGGGAGTGGGCGGCGGGAGCGAGGGCGGCCGGCGGCGGGAGCGGGGGATCCGGCGGCGGCGCGGCGATGACGACCTCCCCGCGATGGCGGCCTCCCTTCCCCGACCTCCCATACGCGGCGGCGGCCTCCCTTCCCCGACGGCGGCGGGCACAGCGAGGACTAATTTGTTTGTGTGATGCCCTATGCTAATGTGCAGCCATGTGCACATTATTTCTATTGCATCATGTGCAGCCAGTTTGTAGATCCATTGATATTTTGTTCTTGTATCATGTTCTTATTAATACTGGGATAATTTGCAGAGAAAAATTCTAAATTGCAGGATTGGGAGCTACTACTGCGTCACAACAGGTAATCTCATCAAATGCTACTGGAGATATGGGTTAGTTAGATGAATCTGATTTGTGCGATGGGGTTATTCTGGAAGGGAGGCAATGAATTCTTAGTAGGTTTGTCAACTGTAGAGACGATGTAAAGAGAAATCTTAGTAGTCTAAGCCAAGTTAGACCTGAAAACTTTGAATTGATATATCCTTACCCTTCTTGAGAACTATCAATAATCAAATAAATATGCAATTAAGGATAGTACATGGTTTGTAAACGCAAGTTTTTGTCTCATTTTCCCATATCCCTACATACTTTATAAATAAGGGTATTTCATGGCCCTACTTGCCAAGTTCATGAGCTAAAACATGTACAAAAGCTGATATATTTGCTCACTTTGCAAAAGGAAACCTAGAGGGTGAAGGTTGCTGAGAGGGGTGGTACTGTGATGGCAGACAGACTATGGTTCTTGGTGCTCACAATCTGCAAGGTACATTTTTTTGGCAACTCTTGTGATTGGCATGTTGTTCTCTATGCTGTGCACTTATAAATGTCTCTCTACCTTTGAAGTATATATTAAAATGGTTCTCCTTACATTTAAGTAATCCATTTACCACTTGTCATTTGTGTGTTGAAGGCATTTTTTTCACTCATCAGTATTCTAAAATGCTAACTGTCAAGTTCACTCAGCAGTGTGAGACATGCCTATTCTCTACAATTTTTCTTTTGGTTCCATGTGCTGACCTTTTCAGCTTAAGATGCCATTTTAGTCTACCTGACTAATTACTACAGAGGTCCCTCCAATACTAGGAGTAGCAGGATTATGCAATGTTCTTTTCTTCCACAAATAACTTGAATGAACATAATTATTCCTCTTCCTGCATATAGCTCTGAAATATTGTTTTCACTTGATTGCAGATGGAACTAGGCTGGAGACTTCTTGGTGCTCAAGATTCACTTGTTTATTTTGTTATGTAGGAGAGGTGTAAGAACTTAGACTGTACTACTGTTTCTATGGCATCATGTGTACCTAGTTGGTGGATCGATTCATAGTGTTCTTCTATCATGTTCTTGTTAACACTGAGAATCTGTAGCTAATGTTCACTGATTATTATGTGGTACCAATTTGTTTGCATGAAACATGCTTATTGATCTGTTGGTTGCCTCATCAGTGCAGTACCATTCTCAATATGTGTATATTATATAAAATCACGTGCACAATGTTACTGGGTGTGTATCTCAAACAAACTCTCGGTAACATTCCGCACGTTACCGTGTACTCGTCCACACGGTAGCAATTTTAACATTCCCGTGTACAGAAACTCTCGGTAAGTTTGATTTACTTCCTGTGAGTTCCTACCTCTCGGTAACGCTAACGCTACGTTCCGTCCATCCTGTGCTGTTTGCTGGGTTGTTACCGAGAGGTTGCTTTCACACGGTAACTTTTGGCATCATCCCGGGCGCAAAAATGCTATTGCACGGGAAACTTCACACGGTAAAGGTGTGAAGCTGCCGGCTGTGCGTTACCGTGAGTTCACTCTCGGTAAACATGTTTACCCAGTGTTTTTGCCCTGTTGCCGAGTGTTTCCAGCACCCAGTAGCTTCCCAGCCTCTAGTAGGCTTCTCTTTACTTCCTATATTATAGCTAGCAATTCAAAGGTAAACACGATGAGCTAAATTGTCATAATTTAATTTATAATTAAACAATTAATTTAAGACCAATAAAATTCAAAAGTTCTACATCATACCATCGATTTACACTTAAACAGCTGAAGCTATTATTTTCGACGATTGGATTAGATTTATTAAACTAATTAAGCTGTCACTGCTAATCTACACCGTAATTTAAGATCAACAAAATTCAAAAGTTTTGAGAAAAGAGGCAAAACATCACATCATCGATTTACACTTAAATCATTGAATGTATTATTTTTAACCATTATATTAGATCTATTAAAGTAATTAATCCCTTTGTCATAGGTACTTACATAATTATAATATTTGATTCATATTACGCCCCCTCTTCCTAGATTCACTCTTTCTCTTTCCAACTATTCATTCTCATAAAATTTTTACCTTTATTAGTTAGAAAGCAAAATTATGTATTAAAGTAATTATAATGTAATCTTTTTAGATTGTTTATGACTAAATTTATAGTGAAAGATCAAATTTCACTATAATTTAACTTTGAAGACAAATATGACTCTTTGGGGTTATATTTTCTGACTTTTGCATGCATTATAAACAATTATAAAATATATAAAAATTAATGCTATAGATTTTGAAAAGGCTCGTCCTGGTGTTACTATTTCAAAAGGTTTGTGTTGGTTTTACTTTTGAAAAATAATTGATGCCATACGGTTGATATTATGCCATTTTAAGTTTTATTCAAACGCAATATATAATACATGCCCACGTATTCGCGTGTACTACCTTTTTAGTTTAATTAAAAAGAAGGAAATCATGCGTGTTGTGTGCCATGGTAATAAGTAATATAATGTAGTAATGGATGGCAACTAAGTAGGCATCCTAATGGGTATTCATTACCTATCCCCATATCCTTATCCATATTATTTGGGTAGGGTGTGGGTAAAAAAGATTACCCGTTTAAATTTTAGATATGTGGAGGGTATAACTCATTTTGCCCACTTCGTCCATACCCATTTCTTATGTGTAAAACTCGGATATAAAATTTTTAAACTCGCGTTCACATTATAAAATCTTATCAAATTTGACTTAAATTTGGAGGGATGATTTATTATATAAAATAACAACTTTGTACAAATTTTGGTCCATTTCTACATGTGGTACCCACATAAGTCTATGCTCTTATCCATTGGGTTACACATTCCCATTGGGTATACTCACTTAATTTAGGTATGGATAATATTTCTTTAGATAAAGATGGGTAAAATTGGATATAGATATGGGTTACCTAATACCGAAATGCCTGAATATGTAGCAAGCGCAAACACATCAAAACCGGCAAGAACAACCTGGGACATCAATGCCTGCAGCAATGCTGGCGCATCAGAATTAATAACACATATAGTTTTCCAACCTAAGCAAGTTTATTATAATCGGCCTTCTACCCTAGTCTAATTGATCTCTTTAAAAGAATCAATGTACTCCATTCAGCCTATATGGGCAATTATATTTCATCGTCGCCAGCTGTTAGTAGCATAAGCTATGGTAATTTGGTTGAGATACTACCTAAGTACTTAACTTCTGGACTAAAGTGTTTGTAAAGGTTGGGGGGAGGGATAGTCCCCAACATTCCAAATTAAAAGGGAAAACTAACCCAAGTAATAATTTTATCTTTCAACTACTGATGCGTTTTTTTAATCATTTTTGCTCTACTGCAACAAGCACCCAAAAGACTATCTTCTTGCAAAACACTAAAAATATATCAAGCAAGAAAGAAGAGATACTCATGACACATGCTATACGTTGTCCAGATCGTTAAACTATAGAAAGGACACAATCTTCACTCAGAGATTCAATTGAAAGTTTTATTGATTTGAGAGACAAGTTTCATAATCTTCAATTGAAAGTTTTTTGCTTTGAGAGGAAAGTTTCATATTCTTTTGGAATGAAAGTTGTGGGCTTTGAGACACCTTCCTCAGGCGCGGCCGCTCCACATCCCTGGAGCAGCGGCCGGCTGACGGAGGCCGATATCGCAGCCGCACGCCGCACCTGGCACACCGCCAGCGCGGCACCTCGCCGTGGGGGGGGGGGGGGGGGCGGGCATCACTTGACGCTGATGCTCGCCGCCGCTGGGGACGCTCCAGGAGCCGATGCCGCTCCTCCCGACGCAGCTCCCGATGCACGCGCTCCCGCTCCGCCTCGGGGGCGCGGTCTGGCGGGAAGACCAAGGCGCTCCCTGCAGGGCCAGTACTGGCGCTGGCCCTGGAGGCCAGACAGACAGCGACTCCTCCTCAGGTCGCCCCCGTGAGTATCCTTGACCCCTCTGCCGACATCCTTGCTTCTAGCCTTGCAGATCCATCTCCGCCTCTCAGTAGGAAAGAGGAGGCGGAGGACCCGATGCTTCTCGAGCTTCTGGCGGCGGCCAGAGATGCTCGCACGCCTCCCCTTTTGCCGAGCAAGGACGGGAAGGTGGGGCCCGGCTCTCCTCCCTGGACCGAGCTCACCCTCTTGGGCCTAGACGGCCTGCAGCCTAGGGGAGGGTTGTTGGGCTGTGACGGCCCACTGGAGCACGACGCACCACTCCAGCATGATGGGCCGCCACTGATGACAGATGGGCCACCCCATCAGGAGGAGGCCTCCTTGGAGGCCGCTTAGGCACATGGTGGGCCACCACTGCTGGCAAATGGGCTGCCCCAGGATGCGGCCTCCTTGGAGATCACTCAGGAGGAGGAGGAGGCCTCCGAGGTCGTCGAGGTCCTGACCGAGCAGGTCGACCTCCTCGACCTCCAGCACGACGACGACGCCCCTGCTCCCATGGCGCCCCTCTTCCGCCGCATCCCCAAGCCGATCCTGGCGGACATCCCGCAGCCAGCATCGGGGAACACCAAGACCAAGAAGGCGACGGCGGCGACTCGGCGGAGCAACCGGCAGGCGGCAAGGGCCTCCTCTGTGCCGGTCTCGTGCCGGGCACAGGTCAGGCTTGCCCAGCAGATGGCAAACCTCGAGCCGGGTGAACCAGTCGATGACGCGGCAATCGCGGCCTACATCAAGACCTTCGACAAGCCACTTGCGCCCCACGTTCTGGCAGCCCTGAGGGGCTTTCTCCGCCTCGACAACACGGGGGTCGGCGCGCTCGTGGACGCTGACGAGCTCGGGGAGCAAGTCTGAGACTGCCCTCCCCCCTGCCATGAAGATGCATCTCAGAGATTCACTATGTTAGAGTACCTATCTAGCTTATGTATCCTGTTGTAAAGACCGTGCTATACGCATGGCATGTGGAAGCGATTAGCGCTACCTGGCCTTAAGCCAGGGTTCAGTTCGTGTTCAAGGTTTCAAGCCCTTCAGGCCTTGGTTAACCTCGTAGCCTTAGCTTCGATGCGCGGCCTTCAGCCAAGCATCCCGCATCCATGCTGCAGCAGGATATTCACTCTTACAGAGCAGGAATGTTGTTTTGGATGTTGTATGTGCTTCTTCCTGCTCCAATATATGGTTTGCAGCCCTTCTGATATTAGTACTTATATGCTGTCCAGTCCACTGTCATGAACAAGCTCCGTATTATGAATTGGAATGTGAGAGGACTCAATAGCCTAGCAAGCAGGGAAGCTGTATGCGAAAATGCACAAACGGCAAGAGCAACTATCCTCTGCTTACAGGAAACGAAAATGGCTACAATTACAGATAGGCAGGGAAGAGAAATTGGAGGAAATCGTCTGAACAATTTTTCATTCCTGTCGGCAATTGGCACAAGTGGAGGGATAGCTTTATTTTGGGATGACTCAGAAATAGATGCAACCAACATCACAGAAAAGACCTATTCTATTTCTGCAAATATAACACTGAAGGACACAGGGGCCTCCTTTCTACTAACCACAGTATATGGGCCATCTAGGGACAATGAAAAACTAGAGTTTTTGCAAGAGATGGCATCCCTCCTGCCGCCGGTGCAAACTCCATGGATCATCCTAGGGGATTTCAATCTGATCTATGAGGCAAGGGATAAAAATAACCTCAATTTGAACAGGTCTTTAATGGGACAATTCAGAGCAGCCCTGAATAGGAATGGACTTAAGGAAATCCGATTGCAAAATAGAAAATACACATGGGGCAATGAAAGGGAGCAAGCAACACTAGTCAAGCTGGACAGAGTGTTTTGCAGTTGTCAAGGGGACCTTCTCTTCACGAATTTCCTTCTACAGGCAATGTCGACTTCCTTCTCAGATCACTGTCCACTGCTCCTTTTAAATGCTGATAGACCACGAAGGAAGGCTCATTTCAATTTTGAGAATTTCTGGATTAAATTGCCGGGATTCCTTAAACAAGTGACTGAGACATGGGAACGGGAAACAGGAAGCCTAAACCCAGTGAGGCTAAGTAAGAAACTAAGCAACACAACCCTTGCTTTGAGAAAATGGAGCAGAACAAAGCTGGGGGGACTTGAGAATGGAGTTCCACATGGTGCAGGAATTAATCCTAAGGTTCGACCTAGCGCGGGA